TGCTACGGTGAGGCGTACTGCTGGATCGAGATCCGATATCTACAGGCACGTTTCATTGAAACGCTTGATGTTGCTCCGAATTGACTCATTTTCCCTCTACACCACGTTTAGAAGGCTCTCTTGTGACTTCAGGCACTTGTTACTAGTGATGAAGTGGGTCGTGAACATATCCACGAACTGTGCCCAACTTTTGATCGAGCCCGGTGCAATGTTCCTATACCAAATCTGAGCTAGTCCTTTGAAATTGGTGGAGAAAGCCACACACATGCACGCTTCGTCTACTTCGGCGAGATGCATTTAAGACTAGAAGGCATCTACGTGGTCGTTAGGATCGAAAGTTCCGTCGTACCTTTCTAATGGGGGCACCTTGAAGTCCTCTACATCGGGACTACTAGTAGCTTGGGTGACAGGGGGGAGGGTCGGCTCAACAATGTTAGAGCTGATCATGTAGCCACCGAGCTCTCTTCCTCCCTTTCCTTGCTTTGCTCCTGCAGTTGGCAATTTTTTGTCAATGGACTGTTTCTGGTGGAGGAACGGTGAGTCTTGTGATGCCGCCGCTGCTGTTTCTTCACTGGCTTTGCATTGGTCCTGCTGGCTTCAATATGATTGGGTACTTCGATTCTGATCTGCTCTCGCTCTTGAACACTGTTGCGAGGTGGATTAGGGTTCCTTCCTCATGCTTCTTCTTGGTCGTGAGACCGGTGTTGGCTGTTGCGGGGTGCCGAGGGGTCTCGTCTCGAACCCGCACCTTGGGCCCCAAGCTGGCGATTGTTGAGCCAAGACTCGCGATTCTCAGGTCGTGAGTATTGTTGCTGACTATGTCCTTTCATGCTGGCTAACCTCTGGCCTATCTTTCGGGTTCCCCCTTTGAGAAACTGGGGGGGTGTTGGCCGTCGGTCCTACCCCGAGGTGGGGTCCAGCCCCTAGGAGGGACTAGAACTTGTGAGTTTCCCTCACCCCGATGGGGAGATATGCGAACACTTTGATGAGGCTGCTAGTGGTGCGGGTGCTGGTTCTGGATCTGATTCTAGTACTGACCTAGTTGCTGGTTCAACTACTACTGTAAGAAATAGTATTGTTGAAGCTGTTAGAATTGATGCATCTGAATTTGCATGGTTCTGACACTCTGAACTAGATCATCGAATTGGTGACGCCCGACCCCAAGAGGAATCACCGAGGGTTTCAAGAAAGTGGTGCTTACCTGGGGCAGTGGGACATTTATATGTTGAATCGTTTGCTGCATTAACACAATTGAGACCACTGAGGTGGTGAGGGGGATGGTGAACTGCCCAATAGTCACTAAAGCGCCTTGAGGGAGTGATTCTGGGTGGTCCTGCCCCCCAGTGACGCTCGTGTTGATGCCCTTGCTAGTGTTGCTTGAAGATGCCATTAAGAAAAAGTAAGGTGATGAATGAGGTGTAAGGTTGACCTTTTGATCGGTTTCCATAGACGACGCCAATTGATGGTGCGCGATCTGGAAGCTCCTGGCTGGAAGATTACTTGGACACTAGTCACGTAGTGAGTTGGACCAAGACACAAGACAAAGGATTAGAGAATTCGAGGTGGCTAACCTAGCGAGGTCGTTCCGATGCTTAAGTTAGTATCATACTCTAATTGCGAACTAAAATCTTGAATGCATGTAAGCTAGTGAGTAAGTAATCGCGCGTTCCTGAGTCTTGGGGGTTGATGCCTTTATATAGTTGGGCTGTCGTGGGTCTCGCGAAACGCTCCCGGAATCCATGGCCCGCGACATAGGGATCCATTCCGCTTTGGAAGGAGGGTAACGTATCAGTTAATAAGGCTTACCGTTTCCCTCCGATTCGGGCGGGGTGAGGATAAGGCCTACAGTTACGCGGTGTGATCCCGAGAAGTTCAGAGACAACTGGCAAGCTTCTAGGTTCGGTTATTTGGCACCTCGACATACGTGGGTACTGAGGTGCTCCGGCTCCGAAGTGACCAAGCATCCGAGGTCCCCCGATCTACTAACGTGGCACCACATGCTGATTTGTCGTCTGGCTGGTAGGCCGCATCCACGTGTCTTTTACTTATTAGGTCATGCCAAATCACCCCTCATCACTAAGTAATAAATAATTAATAAAATAAAAGTATTAATATTAATATTTAAAAATAAAATATTAATATAAAATATTCATTATAAATACTAAGATACGAATTATTAAGAACTAATAAAATAATAAAAAAATTACTAATAAAATATTAATAAAATTGTTAGTTGATTCTAATCCCAACTCCAAATGAACCAAACAACAACAATCAGAATCCAATAATTATGTATACATATATATTATGTATAACTATATGAAGTTTATAATTGATAAATTTAATATTTTTATATTTATATACATTTATTATACATATGTGCTTTGAAAATAAATGATTTTTTAAAACTTTTTTTTGTCATTTTAAACATAATAAAATTATTGCAAATTAAATGTGAAGGTGATCCAAAACCCAACATAATAATCAGAAGCGAATGTGGATCCAGATTTCATAATCGAATGCAAATACGGATATAGTTGGTTCTCATTTGAATCCAAACCATTTACAATCTCATTGTCTAAGTTATGTGGGGTTGATGTAGATCTATGCTAGACCTAACTCAAAAGAAAATAGTTGTTTGTACCCAAAAATTTGTTGGTTTAGCTAGATTTAGGCTAAGTTATAAATGATCATCCCTAAGTAGGAGCCTTAAGACATTTATAATTAGGTCATCATTAATTTTAATGTTTTAATTAAATATAGTTTTTATATGGGATGCAAGTGGTTTATTTTATTATTTTTAATATATTTATTATTTATTATTATTATTATATGAACTATTGACTTTTTATTAATTTCTTAATTTTTAATAGTTGATAGATAAAATTTGCTAAAATTCAATTTTATTTATTAGGTTTTGAATTATTGTTTTCTATCAATTTACCAATTAATAGTATTCGAATATGAATAGGAATGGCAATGTTCCCCATCCCATCGAATACTCAACTTCCCCAACTCGATGGATATTACGTTGGTAGGGATGGGGATTGATAATGATACCCAACTGAGAATGGGGATTGGGATTGATAATGGATTATTTTAGAAACAATCCATTGTTTAACAAATATTAAATAATTTAATAATCTACCAAAAATTAATAAACAATTCATTATTTAATAATTTTTGGTTATTAATAAATGTTCAAAATTTCAACATTTAGCATAATTTACACCAACCATTGTAATCTAATAAAATTTCATTAATTTTTTATAATAATAATTTATTGATAAATGACATTACTAATTAACATAATTTACTATATTCTATAAAATTAATAATTATGGTTAACAATTATCAAATAATTTAGGGAAACTCTTTAACTAATAATCCATAGTTATTTTTTAAATAAGTAATAAATTAATATATGAAAAATATTATCCAAAACTATTTAAAGAATAATAATAATCCATTATTATAATTATTAAATAATTTAGGAAAATTTATCTACTAGAAATTGTTTCGTAATTGTCTAAATAACAATATGTTATTATTATTTCAGTAAATAAATATTAAATAATTTGGAAATATTATTAAGTCTATCCACATCGATCTAGACAACTTGGTTAACTTCGATCATACCAGGTTATACATTAATTAACAACAAATGTTTTGCTTTTATTTAAAAATAAAATAATTACTATAGTTACATTTATTTTGATTAAATAGTAAATAATTTAGGCTTGAAAAGTAAATAATTTAGATTAATTTATTGTTATTGTAAATAATTAATTTACTATACAATACTACTAATCAATAGCAATTTCAATATTTTTTTTGAAAATTATCATAAAATATTATAATTCATGTGAGGATAGGGAAAATATTTTCTACATATTCTTATAATCATAAGATTCTATAATTTCATTTATAAAATACCCCCAATTTGTCATAATCCAATTCCTAAAATACCTTAAAATTCACATAATCTTATTTATAAAACTTCCATAAATTAGTTTTTTATAATTTCATGTATTTTTCTATAATTTCTGATTTTTTTGGCTGAAATATATTTGTGAATTTTATTTTTTGTACTTGTTTTCTGCAATGTTTTGCTATTTTAGTTGAAATACATATTTTTATTTATTTTTATCATTTTATGCATTTTTTATTTTTGGCTGAAAATATATTTGTGATTTTTGTGCAATTTTTAATGTTTTTTACAGTTTTTCTTTTATATTTATATTTAATTATTTTATTATTTCGCAAATGTTTTATATTAAGAGGGCGTTCTTTTTTCGGATTTTGAGAGGGGAAAGTTGGCCAATGGGATTTTGGTTATTCATTGACCAAGAATCTCGTGTTCTGTTTTTAGATTTATGTGGGGATTAGGAAAGTTTATTTTCGTGGGTGATAATTATCTTCTAGGTGGGTAAATAACTTTCCTACCTAGTGGGAAATTGTCAACACTTGAATAGACACAAATACCCCTTTTAATAATGAATTTTTATGGATAAAATGGTCATTGCTTTATATGAATGAGAAATAAACAAACATGGATAAATGCACTTAGGGTAATTGTTTACTAGGAAAAACTTACCTAGGAAAATGCATTTACCTGAATAAATAATTTATGAACAAGGCCTAAATGTACAAGGAAGTCAGACACATAATAGGCATTTTAGTCCTAAAAATATGTTTAATAAGGCTGAATCCTCATTCAGGGGTAGTTTGATTATAAAAATTATATTTACGCTGGACAACTTATGTCAATGATGTCAATGAATACTAACTGTTCTCTAAAGATTATGAGTTTTAGAAAATAAAATTTCATGGGGTTTTTGGACGTTTTGAAAAGTTACGGTGAGTTTTAAGAGAAATGAGTTTAAGACAATTTTACTTTTTGTTTTTTGTTTTTTAAGTGCAGGTAATTATTTCATTTTTTCTACCAAAACTATCCCCAACAAATGTTTATAATACCGTTAATGCCCTTCGAATCTAAAAGCCTAGGGTTTGGCCATCGACACAATCTCCTTCCATAGCTCTCTGTAACCTGGCTTCTTCTCCTGGCGAACACTGAGGTAAGATTTCATTAATGGCGGACTGTTCCCCGTTCATTCACTGATTCCTATCATTTTCCTTCATCTTCTCACTGCGATTTCTAATATTCTCCTTCATCCTCTTACTGAACCAGCGGCGGGAATCGAACCAGCGGCGGCGATCTATTACCAGCGGTGGAAATCGCAGCAGGTTGGTGTTTTAGATCAATCAGTATTTTCGTTTCTGGACTCCCAGATGTTTTGCTTGTGAATCAGAAAAAGTGACGAATAGCATGTTTTGACTCCCAGATTTTTGTTTTAGATCGATTGGTATTTTGTCGTGTGTTCACTGTTAATGTTCAGGATGATTTCTGTTCAGATTCATTGGGCATATGTGCCTTGTGCAGACATAACTATAATCAATGTTAAATGCAAAATCGTTGAGTGTGAGAATGTTGAGGTCCAAAACGAATAACTTAATTAATGGCTTAGTTGAAAGCAAAGTATTCATGACAATCTTACAAATAGATAAAATATCATGCAATACTACACTACTACAGTAGAAGTGTAGAACATATGAAGTTAAGCTAAAACATCAGTAAATCTCAAGGAAAATATTGTAGAGAAACCTAATTTTGGGTGAAAAACTCCAACATATTTAATTGTGAATAGGTTCAATGATTGACCAGTTTACAACAAAAAATCAATTTACAACTAAATCCATCCGTTTAAAATAACCAATTAAATTTTTAACAAAGCAACAATTAATGCATGGTTTCATTGGTTGATTGAGTGGAAGGAAGTGGCTATATAGGCGTGAGAAAGCTACTTTAATTTACAATTAATACTGTGTTTGGCAGGCTTTCAGAGAATTAGTTTTGGTGAATTTTATGATAACCATTTTTAGGTTTGGATTTATGAAAATTGTTGCAATTAATTCTTTTTTTTGAACTCGAAGCTCATTTTATAAGATCTGAATCTTTGAAGCTGCTAAGTTAATTTTGAAAAAAAGAAATATTTTTGGCTCAAAATTCATTCTTCAAATAACGAATTTTGGAGCAAAACTTCAACCAAATACAGGCTTATGTTGCTTGGGATTATTTCAACTACTACTATTTTTTTTTTTGTTTATGTGGATGACTGGTACAATAGAAAACGGCAACAACAATTTGGGATAGCCAGATAGGATCAAACTGAGAAGGATGGCTAGCTAGGGCCCCAGTGAGTTGGCTTGTTTGAATTGGGCTGAAACTTGTCAATCCAAATCAACTCACCAGTCACCCCCCTTCTATCCATCTTTTCCAAATCATGATGAATTCACTCTATTCTGGTAGGTTACTTGGGTTATTTGACCAATGCTCATGGTCATGGTATACATTTCTAGACCTGAATTTCTATGAAAAAGTACAAAGGAAGAAAGAACGAAATAAATCAAATTGGGGCTTGTAACATTGGCTGTTTGTTTCAAGAATCAGCACCTTTGGTCATCCACTACTAAGCAGCTCAAGTTGAGGGGGTACATTATGGACCCAGGTAGAGATGGCAATAGCCAAGACCACCATCAACCCATTGGAGCAGCTTTGGTATGTCTGTTAGTGATTAGATTATATTCAACCCAAGTGAAATGAATTCCCAATCGAAATCATAATAGACTAGATCTGCACCACTCTGCAAGTTCCCAATTACTTCCCATCTGCTAATGAATATATATTGTGGAATCAGATCTTAAATTTAATGAGATTGGGCAGATCCAAACTTTGACCAATTATAAGAATATCTAAGATTCTAAGTATGATGTAATGATGAAAACATGCAAACATTAAGAAAATACATACAGAAGCTTTGTTTTTTTTTGATAAATGATAGCATTTTATTAATAAAGAGGGATTACATCAATACTTAGAATACAAACTATCCCAATGGGGACGCGAGGTGTGACCCCATTCTACAATGACCCAAATTACAACTGAGCAAAGAACAGTTCAGACTTAAACACCCCCATCTTCGCAAAATGATCAGCCATTCCATTTGCAGACTGCCTTTCCCATTTCACAAGAACTGTCATGTCTCAAACTAGCCATTTGAACTTTTTAATAGATTCGTTGTACTTCCAACTCACTGTTTCTGGTTCCTTCAGCCACCCTATTATCAATTTAGAGTCACCTTCAATGAGCAGTCTTATCAAAATTTAGCTGTCTCGCAATCTTTACCCCTTGCAAGACTGCTTGGAACTCTGCAAAAACTAAGTCCCCTATTCCAACCGGGCCTGAGAATACAGCAACAATGAGTCCTTCATTATTCCTAAAGACCCATCCTACACCAGTTGGACCTGGGTCCCTAGGCTGCTGCCGTCAAAGTTCAACTTAATAAAGCCTTCATCGGGGGGTTCCCAGGCTACCACTGTCCTGTTCCTTGCTGTAGAACTTCTAGCTACAGCTCCCCAGTTTCTCCCCAGGTCATCAACAGAGAAATCTGAGAACAAGTTTGAGGCTTTAACCCAATGTATAGCTCTATTAAAAATACACTTCCAAACTGCCTCCATACTCCTTTCTCTGTCATTGAAGACTCTACCATTTCACTCCTCCCACACCGTCTATATCACAGCAGCCCTAAGGCATCTCCACATGACTTTACCTCTTTTTTTTGGCCAACTGAAGGTCGTGGAATCAAAGAGATTTCCAATCTGCAGAGGCACAATCCACCTATGACCAAAAAGATCAAAAACCTTTTCCCAGAGGCCTACAACAAAAGGACAAGAAATTAGGAGGTGGTAACGACTTTCACCACAAGCTTTGAAAAGGATACACCAGTTTGGAGAAAGGCACAAGGTAGGTCTTCTTTTTTGTAAGGTGTCTAATGTGTTTATTTTTCCAAGAAAAACCTCCCAACAGAAAGCCTCAACCTTGGGAGGAACAGGTTTGGACCAGAATTCTTTAAACGGACAAGAGGAGTGAATTGGGGCTGAACACAAGCAAGAGAAAAAAGAAGCACAGGAAAACAAACCCCTAGGGTGTGTAGAGTCCAAATACGGCCATCAGGTTTTGAAAGATCTAGAAAAGCATGATCAAGGACTTGCAAGAGCGAAGTTGCCTGTTCAAGCTCACTGTCTCTCAAGTTTCTTCTTAGTCCCAGGTCCCAGCTTACCCCAGACAACTGAGAATAGGACACAAAATGATGTACAAGTTCTTTTTTAAGCAATAAAAGGGAATAAAGAGAAGATAGAGGTCTTTAAGTGTTGAGTCACCAATCCAGAGATCCTCCAAAATTAAACCTTTTCTCCAGAGCAAACATTATACCTGATAAGGCTAAGGAACTGAGGGAGCACTCCGCAAATGGATTTCCATGAAGAAGCCAAAAGTAGCCCTCGAAGAAACCCCAACATCCCAACCATTGCCTGCACCACCGTGAATATTGCCTATCACTTCTTGCCACAACTGTCCCCTCTTCAACGGCCATCTCCATAACTACTTACCTAGCATAGAAGTATTTTTCTTATCTAGATTTCCTAACCCTAGACCTCCCTGTTCTTTACTATGACACACTACCTCCCACCTGACCAAGTGATCCTTCCTACCTTCCCCAGGCTCCCAAAGGAAATCCCTCATCAGCTTTTCTAATTTTTGCACTTCCCTTCTAGGCATCCTAAAAATTGATAAGTAGTAGATTGGAAAATTCGCTAGAGTGGACTTTATCAAAGTAATTCTGCGTTCTGCCTCCCAATGAAATATAATTTCTCTTCCAAGCTGCTAGTCTCTTGGTACACCTCTCCACAACTAGGTTCCAAAACCTAGATTCTCTTGGATTATCCCCTAAAGGCAAGCCAAGATACTTCAAAGGCTAGCTTTCAATAGCATAACCTAGGGACTGCTACTGCAATCACTTCTTCCTGCTTCAAATTTACCCCTACCACACAACTCTTCTCAAAATTGATCTTTAGCTTGGAGATATGTTCAAACAACTTAATCACCTCCTTCAAGTGCCTTGCTTTTCTAGGATCTCCACCCTCACAGAAAATGATTGTATCATCCGCAAATTGTAAGTGAGTCACTACCGTATCACTCCTACCCACTCTCTAACCTCTAAAAACACTCAACTTGTCAGCCCTTTGGAGAATTTTTCTAACGACATCCGTTATGAGGGTAAAAAGAAAAGGGGAAAGGGGGTCCCTTTGTAGGTGGAAAAAACTCCCTTACCACACCATTCACTAGCACCGAATAATGACAAGTTTCATGCACCCTACAATCTTACTGCACTATCTTTCCCCATAACCATAACACTTCAAGACTTCCAAAGGAATACCTAGTCCACCATATCATAAGCCTTCTCTAGATCTAACGTACACACAAAGCCTCCTTTCCCCCTTCTCTTAAAATCCTCCACACCATTCATTTGCTATCAGTATTTGGTTTGTAATTTGTCACCCATGAATGAAAGTTCCTTGAGATTGAGAGATCATATTTGGGAGGGCCACTTTTAATCTCAGTGAGAGGACTTTAGCCAAGATTTTATACATACTAGTCACCAAGCTTATGGGTTAGAAGTCTTTCGGCCTTAGGGCATCTGCCTTCTTGGGTATCAAAGCCAGAAAAGTCGAATTAATTCCAGGGCTAATAAAATGTTCCTCTGCAAACTCCTCAAACACTGCCAACAAATCATATTTGATACCTCCCAACAATCCTGATAAAAAGCCATTGTGAACTTGTCCGACCCTGGTGCTTTTGATCTATCCATCAAGAAAATGGCCCTCCTAATTTCTTCCAGTTCAAAGTCTCTTTCCAATTGATTTGCCATTCTTGGATCCAACCTAGGCCAATCCAACCCTTCCACCATGACTCCTCCCTCACCCACCTTTTTATAGACTTCCTTAAAGTGATCAACAAAACATGTTGCAATTTTCTCTTGGTCCCTTGAAATTTCACTATTCACTTCCAATTTATTTATACAATTTTTCCTTCTCCTACTATTAGCTATTGCATGAAAGAATTTTGTATTACCATCCCCCTCCTTGATCCACTTATGTCTCGACTTTTGCTTCCAACAAATCTCTTCTCTTAGCAAAATCTCCTCTAGCTCCTTTCTTGATGTCCATCTTACTCTTCTATCCTCATTTGTCATGAACCCCTGACTTTCCTTCATGTCCAACTGTTGTATTTTAGTAGTCACTCATCTTTTTTTCCTCAGTTCTTCCAAAATGTTCTCTATTCCATTCCT